CACTCCATTTCTTTAATTTTTTTTTTTATTCTGACTGATATAACATCTGCTAAAATGTCTTCCTTATCATGTGCTTGGTGATCACACAGCCTTCCCACCATTCATTGAGAGCTGGACCAGATCTCACAGAGTCTGAAAAGAGCTATGTGGTAAGGCCACTGTTTAAATCAGATGTGTAGTCCTAGACTGTCTTCACCCAGACAGTAACACCTCTAGAGATAAAATGCCAGCACCATTTTTAGCTGCAAAGCAGGTACATATTTATCTATTTGCATATATTGTTTTGTTTGCAACAGAAAAAGGGAATTTAGCACTTTGAAAAACATTCATCATTTATAGCCAATGAGAAGTTGGGCTAATTGTGCTGTCAGTCCCTGGGTATAAGTTTAATGAAGCAAAATGCATGAATTGAGCGGCCCGTCTTGCATTCTTGAACTGACTTCATAGCATTTCTAATAGTGCCACTGCGGAACTAATTGCAACCTCTTATGCTGCTGCTTTTATAAATATATGTATATATATTTGTTACAAATCTTCAAACTAAATGCCAAATTCTTCTGTATCTTGCCTGTTTTTCCATGCTTACACCTGGATTCCTTCTGCACTCCACTACCTGGATATTTACCTGGATCTACAACTCTTTTTTATTTTTTATTTTTTTTACTGGACTTATGTGCTGCATCTGGAATGTCCCATCTCTTCTTGTCTATATTTTCCCCTCCCTCCCCCCTGTTGACTGTTCTTTGGGTATTCTTGGATGTCAATGCTGCCTACCACGCAGGAAGCTGTTTGCAATGAGATCATAAACATTGCAGAAAAGTCTGTTCATTACTGCAGTACTATTTCTCAGCCTCTTGACTCTCGCCACAAGGTGACCTCTAATGACCATAAACCATCTCTCATCATTTCTCAGCAACCTCAAGCACAGCAGCAAGGAGCCAGCCCTGACAGAAGCCAAACACCACGAGACATGTAAGTCCTTTTGGCTCCCATCTCTTCCAGGGGCCTTGTCTCTGACTGATGGTGAAGATGGGGAGGTGTGAAAGCTTCAGTGTTTTAGGAGTTGAAATAGAATGATGAGAAAGTGTCAGTGGTTCTTTAAAGAACAAAAATAGCCACATTATCATGATAATGAGTAGTTTAAAACTGGGACCTTTGCGTCTGTATAGCACCTGAAACAATGACCTTATGATCCCAGACTGAGTGTCCTCTGGGCACTTGATTCATGCTGGTTATGGAGACTATCCCAGTGTCTTTGCATCTTGAAGCTGGAGACAAATTAATATCCACTGGCTATGCCTGGCTCGTATGGCGTTGGTCAATGTGTTCACCCCTGTTCTTAGCTTCTTACAGTACAATGGGCAGTCCCAACAACTGATGCCACTTGGTGTGGTTTTGGCCAGTTCCACAGATGAATTGGTGGCTGAATGATCTGAGAGACCAAGGCTGAGATTTTCAAAGCTGTCTGGTGGGTTTAAACCTGGAGTTGCTGTTAAGCTTGGTGGGGCCTTTCACTGATGCTTTTGAGACTCAAAGCCTGCACTGTGTGTTGGGGACTGAAGCTCATTGGCATTTGGCTTCTGAAAGGAGTCTTTGCTTTCCCCTGCCCCTTTAAGCAGCATGGAAAGTCTCATATGAGCTCTATTTTCAGTCCCCACAGCCAGGGGATCCAAGCCTCCCCGAATTTGCCCAGAGGTTGTTTCTGCTCCATAAAGTTCCTTTCTCATAAATAGAGTGCCTCTGGTGCAAGTGGTATCTCAGGGTAGGATTTAACCTTTGGTTTTATTTTCACCATTCATCCTCAGCCATGATTTATACAGCAACCTTAATGCAGTAGACTACGCAGTATCTTTTTCCAAACTCCTTCACATTGACATTTGGACATCTCTTGCCTATGTGCCTGGGTAAGGGAACAGATGTCTCATTCAGCCTAGGAAGGAGTGTGTATCCAGTTTTTGTCTTGCATTCAATACAGTGTCAGCACTTGTATGCTTTCTAGGTGCTCTTAGGAAGAATCCAGTTGTCACAGACAAGCACATGGGAAAAGAGAAACAAAAGCTCTCCATGTATCCCACACAGTGCAGGCATGACACTTTTTACTGCTATGGTGTTGTGACAACAGCCAGTTTAATGTAGTTGGCTTCTACCTCTCAAATGGAAAGCATAGGTCCAGACTGCATTGAACAAAGTAGAATAGGAATTAGAAAGGGAAGGGGAACGTCTCCTTCTGAAAAGGCATCAGGGAAATCCAATGGCTAACGTGCGGTATCTTTCTGGTTTTAGAGTTAGCTACCAAGCCCTCTACAGCTACACTCCTCAGAATGATGATGAGCTGGAACTGAGGGACGGTGACATTGTTGATGTCATGGAAAAATGTGACGACGGCTGGTTTGTGGGTGAGTGTGACACTTGCCTGTCAGCAAAGCTTTTTGAGATGCACGTGAGAAATTTTGCAGATTGTCTGGGAGCTGCTTTCATTTGTGGGGTCAAGATGGTGAATAAAATCAACTCAACCTTTTTCACAATTTCTCATCTTTTCCCACCAAGAACATTAAAACTGGGATGCAAGGTGGTGAAGCTTTGTTTTCCTTGCTAGCTCTCTAGTGTTCCCTTTTTCTTGCTCTTAATTTCCTCATTCCCCTCTTCCTCCTCCTGATCCTTTGTGCTGTACAGATGGCAGAGCAACAGAGGGAATAAAGGAAAACTGGATTTCTGTAGCTTTTCCGAAGCTGATGGAGCCAGAGCAAGTTACAGAAAAGGGCAAGCAAGGGATGAAGGGAACGCATGGATGGGAGTTTCAATCCCTGAAAATCCAGCCCCATATGCAGCTGTGTGTTTAGCAAAATCTAGCCCTTTACCTTCAAAGAATGCAAGTCTGGACAGTGTTCTCCATCTCAACACTGCAAATCTAGGCTTGTTATCTCATCTTAAGGGAGATTAGCTCATTTGCACTGATAGGAGTTTGGCTCCTAGCCTATAGGCCGGAGCTTTCACTGGCACCTTAATAATTGTTAAAAAGGAAGACCAAAGATGATTAGTAGCAGAACTAGTTCTGATCTTGTCTATACCAAAAGGCTCTTTCACTGGCATTCCAATGTAGTTTTAGAAAGCAGTGCCTACAGGCAGAAGAGGCTGCCACCTCTGCCTTTTTAAACCCTAAGCCTCCCTTGCACGGCTCCATCTTACTCTGGCTTCCTTGTGTTTTATTTTGCAACAGGTACGTCCAGGAGAACAAGGCAATTCGGCACTTTCCCAGGCAACTACGTGAAGCTTCTGTACCTGTAAAATAACAGTGATCCCACCACTTCAAATGATGGGGTTGTTTTCCAGATGGTGGTTTTAAACAGTGAAGAAACAGACAATTTATGAATGTAATAGACGAGACGAGATGTGTTAGGAGGATGTGGTTATGTGGTACAGTATTGAGTTGAATGTGTAGCCCTGCTTCCACTGATTCAGGGTGTGATCTGTTTGCTGAAGAGACAGTTTCTAGTTTACAGTGCTGCCTTTGTGTATTCCTCTCCCCTCCCCAGCAAGAGTTCTGATGATAATCTTAATTTGTATGGAGTACTTACCTCTGAGAAGGCTTCAGGGAAGCACATGGTGTAGGTTTTGTTTGTGTGTTGAGATATGATAATGCTTTGGGGCAGTATTTAGCCTGCAGCTGCTCCCTTTCACTGGCAAGGGTCAGGGAGGCCAGGCTTTCTGCCTGGTTTCTGCCTCACTGAAGACTCACTTTGCTCTGCCTTCCACTTCCATAGAAGTCATGCACCTTAAGACCCAGCACAGGCAGAGGACAGCTGATGTGGTTAAACTGCAGAGCTCTGTGTGGAAAAGGAGTTTGGGACTGGTGGTTTAATCCAGAGAAGTCAGCCAAAACATAATGCAAATGCGCAAAAATCCCAAGCCCTTTAATAACATATTACCTATCTCTGCAGAGTTTTGTTTGTTTTTTCTTTTGTGCAGGGGGTGTGTGTGTGTGAGTGTATTGTGTGCATCAAAAAAAATGAACTGAGTCCTGCTTTTTAAAGAGAAATCAGCCTTTGACATTTATCTGCACAAAGAATAGAACCCATAAACAGAGCAAATCCTGTTTGAGTCCTACGGCCATTCACTTTCTCTGCTCCTCCTGCCCTGTTGCTGGCCCTGAAGGATCACACACTTTTTGAAGCATACTCTTTGGGATGAAGACTTTGCTTCCTTCCTGGCATTAAATCTTAGAGGCTTTGATAAATCTGAGCAACATATCACTGAGGGTGCCTTTTTTTTTTTCTTCTTTTTGGTTGTTACACTGTTGATGGTAGGTCTCAAAAAAATACGTACATCTTGGCTGCCTCTCAGTCATACAAAAAAGTCTGATCAATTTGGAAAGCTGTTCCCAGCAGTTATTACCAGTTACATAGATTCATATTTCCTTGAGGGAAAAAAAACCATGGCTTGCCTGTCTGCTTGCCTGTAAATCCACTATGAATACTCTTTTGATAGAAATTTTGTTATTAAGAAAAAGCATAAAGAAAACCGGTTCCATCAGACTCTGCTTCCTACAGTTACCATACAAATAGCAAAGGGTTAGATTGCTATTTTGTCATAAGCCGTATTTAATAATATAAAATGCCTATTTTTATGCTGATGCTTTTATACAGATTTATTAAGAGTAACTACTACTAACTGTTAGCACGACTTGCAACGTTTTGATAAACTAGCCATGCTCCTGGGTTTGAAATCAAGTAGGCTTGTCTTCTGCCTAGGTCAGCAGAAGAGAAGACTCAATGTCTCAGAAGTTTGACTGTAAATATGTATATTTAACTTTGTACAGACAATGTACTTACCTTGTATAGAAAAATAATTTAAACGCATTAAGTGAAGAGAGGGGGGGGAAAAAAGGCAGTTGTGAAAGGTTGGGATTTTTTTCCACTTTTATTTAAATGATGCAATTCCATGTATGTTCACATAAAGAGTTTTAGCACAAAATATCCATTATGAAAGGGTTTCAGATATGACACAAATCACCACTATTTCTTTTCTGCAGGAGATACTTTTAATCCTGCATCTTATTTATGGGTTTGGTTTTCTGCTTTGGGTTTGCCCTCTACTTATTTGCAGCAATATTTAGGCCTGTTGCTATGACTGGATAACACCAAATTAATCTATCCAGCAAAGTAACATGATGATGCTGACTGTATATAACATACTCATTTAAAGGTTTATTTTTTGTTCTTGCTCTTGCTATTTTAAGTGACACACACAAACACAGATAAATACACACACATACAAATCACAACTTATTTTTGTGTTGATTTTTTGTTTCTTATTGCAGTGGATTACTATTTGACAATTAATAAATGGAACTATTGAATTACTATTGTGTTCCTTGTACAAATTATTAAATAAAGTCTATTCCTGCTTTTCTTGTAGCAATGCACTTTTGTACTAGTGCCGCTGTGGCTGTCTTTAGTCCATACCCGTTCTCCCTCCTGAGCCATAGTGTGGTGGTTTCACTTGGCTAGTACTTGGCTAGCAGCCAAACACAGCTGTTCGCTCACTCCCCACCCCCAGGGGATAGGGGAGAGAATTGGGAGCAAGGGTAAGGAAACTCATAGGCTGAGATAAGAACAATTTAATAATTGAAAGAAAATAAAACTTAAAATAATAATTATTTTAAAATAATAATAGTAATAAAATATGCAAATGAGTGATACCCAATGCAATCGCTCACCACCTGCCGACCAAGCAAGCCCAGCCTGATCCCAGATACCGATCCTGGAGAAGCGACAATCCTGAACTGAAACTGCAGTACTGGAAGCGTGGGAGCCCGAGCGAAAGTCAAGAGAGAGCAAGAGAGGGAAAGACCCTCATTATTATACTGAACATGACATTATATGATATGGAATATCCCATTGGTATATTCAAATGCCAGTTTAGCTTATTAATTTAAATATTCCTTGCCCACTTAGATCTTGTGCTTGTAGACTAACAAAACATGAAGTCCTTCACCTCCAGTGACAAAAATGCAAACACTGGTATGTTATCAGTGTCTCTCTCATAATGAATCCTAGGCTGAAACCAAAATATAGCACTATTCTAACTACTAAAAAGAAACCCAGCTCTGTCCCAGCTAAAAACCAGGACACAGAGGCAGGCTGTGACTTTTTCTCAAAGACACTGAGGTGTAAAAGCCGAGAAACTGCTGGTTTACACTCAGGTCTCACTGTACTATGGGGTCAGGGTGCAGCTGCTGTGGCATGTATGCAGACCTGGGAGCTCAGGATCACGCTAAGTCCACTGTTTTACAAAGGGTCTTTGTGATTCTCTCTCGGATGAGAAGACCGCACAGGTTAAGTAGGACAAGAAACCCTGAATGCCAACCTCTGTGGGAAGGGATGTCGGTTGATGTTGGGTTTACATGTGCATTTTTCACCCTGACTTCCATGGTAGCTGCACTCTGACCAGGCAGGTGTGGCTGCAGCACTAATTCAAGGGGTTTGTGTAAAAGAACAGTCCCTGCAGCAGCAGAGCAAAGGAAGGCTGGAGCTGATCTGCCTGCGTGGGCTCACTGGTGCTCAGTAAAGCATGGGCACCATGAAAGTGCACCCTCCACCTTCATTGCCGGAGTGGGGCTGTGTCCACCTTGAAGGCTGGCCTTTTGTGAGGAGTTTAATGTCCTTGAGACGTCGTCCACCTCTGACTGACCCAGAACTGGCAACAGATTTAAACTCTGCAGCTATGTGACCAGATGGCCTTGCAAACGGATACACATCGTGGCTGCCTTCTCAATGATTTTAGGAAGTCAAACTATAAACAAGCCAGTCCCTAAACCCAAACTAACAGGACAGCAAAAGCTTCAAGCTATTTTACATGTCCTTAGCCCACAGACACAAGCCAAATTTTCTGTTTCACAGGTTACCTTCTATTAGAAGCAAAAGGGCAGCCTGACTACCACTTTGCTGCAATCACTAGCATCACTGCTTTACAGTGCTGTGGCCAGGGGGGAGAGACTCACCTATAGCTATTGAACCTCGATATTTGCTGATGTCACTCTCTCTCCTAATATACTTGCTAAGGAACAAACCAGAAATGCTTTTGTGACTCCAGAAGCTGGGTGTGCAGAGAGGGGAAGAAGAGCCAGTGGTGTGTCAAGGCCCTCTGAACATCCCCCCAACTGGGGGTAAAGGAGTTCTTGGTATCTTTTTCTTCATTGCCAGGAGATATGTAATGATGTGGTGGAGGAACTACTGCTCTCTGATAGCAATGAGATTAATAGCCTGGATGCATAGACCTCGGAAGGAAATAACCCGTGACATGACAAGTTAATGCAGGAAAAGGAAGGAAGCTTAAAAAAAGGGATTGCAGAGGCAAGGGTGTGCTTTGTGATGGGATCATTCCTGGCCGTGTCTTGTAGGGTCAGCACCTGGGCAATCTATCTCATCCTTACTTGCTAACTGCTCCAAGGTCCCCGGCTGTGGCTGAATCCTCACTCCAGCAGCAGCCTTCTGCTCTGGCTCACTGATGTTCTGCGTTGCCTGAGCTGTATTTATTTACTAAATAAGCAGCAACACTTGTGCTCAGTTTATAAATGCCAGCACCCTTGCTGTAACCAACCCCTCCTACCTGTCCATTGTCAGATCGGTGGGTGCTTAACATGCAACTGGAACAACTATTTTTCCTGAATCGTGGCTAAGGAGGTTGGCTGATAAACCCATACAGAAGAATTCCTTCTCTTGTTGGTGGTACCACCCCTAAGGGGCTAGAGAGAAACAAAACTCCCTAAAGCAGTGACAAATCAGAGCTAAATTAGGGGAAAGGTAATACCCTCCCCGGGCTCCGCCCTCACTCATCAGTTCCCAGCTGGGACAGCACGCAATGCCGCTTATTTCCATCACCTCCATTAGGTTTCAGAGTTAACACCACACCAGGCTGGAGCAGGCTGAGCTGTGTTTTCCTGGGAGATGCTGCAGCAGAGGAGTCTGGCGTGG